GGAATTCACTGGAGAAGAGAGATAAACGGTTGTTGTCAAAGTTACTTGAAGGAGTGTGGAACCAAAGATGGGTGTTGTGCAGGTGGGATCGCACATTTGCCAGAGATAGTTATAGAGTAAGGAGCATAAATTGAGATTAACGGGTTGGAAAATGACTTTCAACAAAAATAAATAAATGAATAGAAAAGAAACTAAGAAGGATTCTGGTTTCTTTCAACTGTATGAACTACATTCCAGATTTAAGAGTGGGGAGTCAAAGCGAGGAGAAGAATTTTAGATTTCTTCCATTGTATGTACTATCTTCAAGGATTGAGAGCGTTGGTTATGTGGCGAAAGGGAGGGGGAGAAGATGTTCTGGTGGAAATTTTTGTTGGCAATTACAGACTTCTTTTAACCAAATGCAAACAATCTAGAAATGTGTTTCATTCCAAATCTCGCATAGACTGAAACAGTTAAAACTTCCTCGAAATATAATTCAGGTACAACCAATAATGTGTGTAATCGTAAGATTGCAGCACAAGCATTTATTTATGGCTACGTGTGGCTTCTCTTCTTTGTTTAGGTTTAATCATCTGTTCCAAGTGCATCGAATTTTTGGTGAATTTGCCATCAAGTATCAGGCCATGATAACTGTTGGGACAAACCCGGGGCCTAATAGAGCAGGATCGTAGCAATAGTAGAGATAAAAAGTTAGACACACAGATTTACGTGGTTCGGCACTTGATTGCCTACGTCCACGGGCAAGGATAGAAGAATCCACTATGAGGAAAAAACTCTAGAGTTACAATCTCTCTTTATAAGGAGATACTCTCTATTTTTTTCTCTCTCACTCTTCTATAAGAGAAGTTTCTGGGATGAGTTTTTCCTTAAGGATTTGGAGCCTATTTATAGTTTTTGAAAAAATACTATGCATAATAAAATATTAATATTTTACTATGTTGTGGGGCCCGTCATTTTTGTTTTCTTTTCCTTTTCAAACTTTGTTGCTGCTTCTTTCGGTGATTTGAAGTGAGGTGAGGCCTGCTCCAATAATTGTCAACATATGCGGCTGAGTGCTGACAATCTCCCACTTGAAGATTTGATTGAGTATCAATCATATCTTCACATAATTCTTTCTATCTTGTCATCTTCATGTTGCTTACGTCTCCGTCAGGCCACAAGAGGATCGACATCAAATAAATTTGTCGGTATTGACTGCTTTTGTCAAAAAATCAGCTAGGTTGTCTTTGGTGTGAATTTTCTACATATCCACTATTCCTTCTTTCACTTTCTCACGAACGAAGTGGTACTGAACTCGAATGTGTTTGGTTTTTGAATGAAAGGCTAGATTTCTTGCCAAATGCAAAGCACTCTGACTGTCACAAAATAGAGATATCTTCTTTTGTTCATGATCGAGTTCCTCCAGCCTCATCTTCAACCACATTGAGGTTGTGTAGCTGCTACATATTCTGCCTTTGTTGTTGAAGTAGCCACAACTGACTGTAGTTTTAAAATGTAGCTTACAGCTCCGTCAGCAAGTGTAAACACATAGCCTGTGGTGGATTTGCTATTATCACGATCACCTGCATAATCAGAATCAACATATCCACTGATAATAAAATCAAATCCCCTATAACATAATGTAACATTTAAGGTTCCTTGAATGTATCTTAAAATCCTCTTTACAGCATTCCAATGCTCTTTATCAGGATTCGTCATGTATCGACTAACCACTCCCACTGCTTGTGCAATGTCTGGTCTTGTACAAATCATAGCAAACATTAAGCTTCTCACTGTTGATGCATACGGTACTCAAGACATCTCCATCCTCTCTTCTTCACTGCTAGGACTCATACTGAAGGATAACTCAAAATTAACAGAAAGTGGGGTAAAAATTAACTTACAATCTTGCATGTTAAAGCGCAGCAAGATTTTTTTCAAATAGTTCTTCTAAGAAAGCCAAATCTTTCTATTAACTCTGTCTCGGTAAATTTGTATCCCTAGAATCTTATTTGCAGATCCTAAATCCTTCATTTCAAATTTCCTAGCCAACTGAGCCTTTAATTCTTTGATACGATCTTTGTTGAGGCCTACAACCAACATGTCATCAACATACAACAATAAGATAACAAAGTTATTTTTACCAAACCTCTTGAAATATGCACAAGAGTCTGAATTAAGTTTGTTGTATCCAAGGCTCATGATGAATGAATCAAATCTCTTATACTAACACCTTGGCGCCTGCTTTAGACCGTACAAAGATTTGTTCAATCTGCAAACCAAGTTCTCTTTTCCTTTTTCTTCAAAACCTTCTGGTTGGAGTATGTAAATTTCTTCTTCAAGATCTCCATGAAGAAATATTGTTTTCACATCTAGCTAATCTAGATGTAAGTTAAATATAGCGCTCATAGCCAGGACTATTCGGACTGTTGTAAGTCGAACTACAAGAGAAAATATTTTATTAAAATCAATACCTTCTTTCTGAGCATATCCTTTTACCACCAATCTAGCACGATATCGCTCCACTTGATCATCGTCATTTCGCTTGATCTTGTAGACCCATTTGTTTCCAATGGTCTTTCTTCCTTGTGGCAGTAACACAAGTTCCCAAGTCTTGTTCTAATGGAGAGTTTCAATTTCTTCCTGCATTGCTGCCATCCACAAAGATGCATCTGTGCCATTTATAGCTTCATGAAAAGTTGATGGCTCTCCATCTTCTGTTAGAAGATAGTATACAACATTACTCTCCGTAATATACTCCGAGTGCCAAGTCGGTGGTCTTCTCTCACGAGTTGACCTTCGAATTTCTGGAGCCTCGGACTCGACCGGTTTTTTGTACATCATGCTCCGGTATTGCTTCAGAAGAATTCGGATTATTTACTACCTGAACAGCTACAGTCTCTGAGTCATTCCTCGAACTGTTTTCTTTCTCTTCACTTTGTAGTTGGTTCTCTATAAAGATAACATCTTTGCTGATGATAACGTTACGGACAATGGGATCCCACAGGCGATTCCCTTTTACTCCATCAGCATACCCCAAGAATATATATTTTCTAGATTTTTAATTCAACTTTGTAATTTCTTAGGTATTGTACATTACGTACACTGGACTTCCAAATATATAGAGGTTGGAATAATCAGCTGGCTTGCCAGTCCACATCTCCATAGGCGTCTTTAATTGTATTGCAGTTGATGGAGATCGATTCACCATATAACAGGCGGTTTTTACTGCTTTCGCCCAAAAGAGTTTATCCAGATTTGCAGTTGCCAACATAGCTCTTGTTCTTTCCAACAGAGTTCTATTCATCCGCTCCGCCACTCCATTTTGTTGAGGAGTATAAGCCTTACTGAATTGTCTTTTGATGTCTTCATGCTTGCAGAATGCTAGGAATTCACCGTCTGTGTATTCTCTTCTATTATCTGACCTCAAGCACTTGATCTTCTTCTTAGATTGAAGCTCGACCCGCGCTTTGTAGGTTTTAAAGACTGAGAACACATCCGCTTTCTTCTTGATAGGATACACCCAATATCTCCTGGAGTAGTCATCAATAAAGAACACAAAGTACTTTGCTCCTCCCAAGGATGTAACCGGTGCTTACCATACATCAAAATGAACTAGTTCCAGAATAGCCTTGCTTCTAGAACTCGATGTGTTGAACTTCAGTCGATGTTGCTTACTTGTAACACAATGCTCGCAGAATGGAAGAGCTACCGAATTAAGTCCAGGAAGCAGCTTCTGATTAACACAATGCTCGCAGAATGGAAGAGCTACCGAATTAAGTCCAGGAAGCAGCTTCTGATCGGAGAGAATCTTTAAGCCTCGTTCTGACATTTAAGTCCAGGAAGCAGCTTCTGATCGGAGAGAATCTTTAAGCCTCGTTCTGACATGTGGCCTAGTTTGCGATGCCAAATCATGGTTTGTTCTTCTATATGGCTGGTTGATGTCACACATGAATCAGCTTCCTGTAGGGTTTCTCCCATGAGTATGTATAGATTTGTAGCTATCTTCTCTCCTTTTATTACCACAAGCGCCCTTCTAACAATCTTCATGATCCCGTTTTCTATATGGGTCTTGCACCCAAGCTCGTCTAATTGTCCCAAAGATAATAGATTCTTCTTTAAACCCTTCACATGTCGTACATCTTGAATGGTGCGTATTATACCATCAAACATTTTGATTTTGATAGTGTCAATACTAGAAATCTCCAATGCATGATCATTCTCCATGAATACAGATCCTCCTGAGATATGTTCATATTTGTGAAACCATTCTCTCCGGGAGGTCATGTGCCACGAGGCTGCTGAATCCAGAAGCCAGACATCAGCAAAGCTCTTTCTGCCTTCATCAACAGTGGTTGCTCCACTGAATAGAATTTTACCATCATCTGATGTGCTGACAACGCATCCTTGAGATGTTGATGGCTTTGAAGACTTTTTATCTTCACTCTTCTTATTGTGCCAACACTCCGATTTGACATGCCCTCTTTTGCCACAGTTGTATCATTTGATATTCTTTTTTACTTCGTGATTTTGATCTACCATGGGTATGATTCCCATTGGAACCACGTTCCGTTGATCTTCCTCTCGTCACCATTAAAGCCTCCGCTTGTTACGAAGTTGCATGCCTGTCTTCCTTGTTCTTGCGCTGATTTTCTTCCTCCAGAACAGTGGCTGCAACATCGTGGAAGACTAGATTGTCCATGAGGACGCTGTTTGTTAGGTTGATGATGAGTTGATCATACGAGTCAGGTAGACTCTGAAGTAGAAGTTCTGCACGTTCATTCGCGCCAACTGTATACCCCAACGTTGTGAGTTAGGAGAACAGTGTGTTTAGGGTGTTGATGTGGTCGATCATCGATGTAGGTTCCGTCATCCTCGGAATGTAAAGTCTTTTTAAGAAGATTTTGTTGTGCATGGATTTCGCTTTATATAGCTTTGTTAAAGTATCACAGATATCCTTTACTGTCTTCTTCTCCTCTATGCTTGACAGCACTCCGTCTGCTAATACCAGATGGAGATTTGTAATAGCATTTCCGTCCATCTCGTTCCACTTCTTATCATCTGTGATGTCATCCGGCCTTGCACCAATGGCCGTCAGGCAATTATCTTTTCTCAAGATAGCATTTATCTTCAGCTTCCACAGTGAGAAATTACTCCCGTCGAATTTCTCGATCTTAAACTTTGTCGCCATTGTTTCTACCATGAACAATAACTTCTTACTATCTCACGTAAACAGTAACTGTATTTATGAACAGTAACCGTACATGTGAATAGTATCGTACTTGTGAATAATATCGTATTTATGAACATTACCGTACTCGTGAATAGTACCCTTCACATTTAAAGGGTAAATGATAACCTAACTTATTTTCTGATGTGGATGATCCACCTTTGGTGACAGCCACAGAGCATACGATAAGTAAGTAGATATATATAAGCACCCTAAGTTGGCTCTGATACCACTTTTTGGGACAAACTTGGGGCCTAATAGAGCAGGATCGCAGCAATAGTAGAGCAAAATTAAAGATAAAAAGTTGGACACACAGATTTACGTGGTTCGGTACTTGATTGCCTTCGTCCACGAGCAATGATAGAAGAATCCACTATGAGAAAACTCTGGAGTTACAATCTCTCTTTACAAGGAGATATTCTCTCTCTATTTTTTTCTCTCTCGCTCTCACTCTTCTATAAGAGAAGTTGTTTCTGAGATGAGTTTTTCCTTAAGAATTTGGAGCCTATTTATAGTTTTTGGAAAAACAATATGCATAATAAAATATTAATATTTTACTATGCTGTAGGACCCGCCATTTTTGTTTTATTTTCCTTTTCAAACTTTGTTGCTGCTTCTTTCGGTGATTTGAAGTGAGGTGGGGCACGCTCCAATAATTGTCAACATATGTGACTGAGTGCTGACAATAACTACTCTCAGCGCCTCGGTCCTGGCATGCCGCCTCCTCTTCTTCCTTATAGATGGCTACGCTGCCTCACGAGTCATGAACTCTTAGCCAAAAACATCTATATTTCCTCCACGTTATAAGAGGCAGTCATCATGCAAACCTTAGGCATTCAAATCACAGCCTTTGAGTATTAGTAGACTATCATCAGAGCATAAGCAATGCCCTACATGCTAGATAGATTACGCGGGTCATTTTTTGTCCTATTTGAAAGTGACTTGTACCCGAAATCAACACTGCAAAGATATACTTCACTTATGGATCAAAATTCTGTAAATTTCTGAAACAAATACACTAGAGATACGGAGATATCCTCTATGCCCATGAATATAAACTTAGAGCTGCTATTATTATGTTACTGTCAAATTTTAGGAAACTCCTATCCCTATTTCAACCTCACCATTGTCATGGGATTAGTTCATGTTCTCCTCCAAATCCTTCATAAAGCCATAAAAGTTTACTATCAAACCTTGGTTTTCCTATAATATCATTCCCAACTGTTGTAATATCTTGCATTTTTCTCTCCTCAAGGCTGAAGCATAACCATCAGCAAACTCTAAATCAGATATGAGCAAAATCGCCTGTCCCCCAACTTGACGTCGGAGATGGTAAAGGGAGGAGCAAATAGGTGCTTGATAAGAGCTAGGAAATTGAGGCCTTTGTTGGGAACATCAAGCCAATTTAAGAAGGCCAACTCTGTACTTGGAAATGGGTGATAGTTTTGAAAAGTTAGTTTCCAAATTTTGATCTTAATTTAGAACCAGGTATGATCCAAATCCAATTAGACAACCATAAGAAATTATAAAGACCTAAAATGACAGAAATTAGACATGCATGGACAAAAGAAAATAGATAGCAATCTGAGGAAGGTCTAACCTTATTGCAGGCAACCATCATTGCCAAATAACAGCAAAAGTGCTCCAAAAAAAAAGGTAAATGACTTTGGTTTAAAAGGTCCAACGAATACCGTGAATTTATGCTCTACCTAGAGTATAAGTTCATGACTATGGGCTCATAATTTGCAACGTCATTAGGTAAACAAAAAAAACTGTATGATATGCACTCAATGTCGAGTAATTAACTTAGAAGTTTCGGTAGAAATGTCAAAGCAAATAGCACATGTTTCTCAAAAGCTAAGCCCCTATATGAATGATATTAACTCCAACTGAAGCTTATAACCCACGATTCAACATATCAAGATGGATTTCAATCCAACCAAAAGTTACACCTCGTAACATATTAACAGTCCAACCTAACAAAACATAGGATATTAACAATATATTCAGAAACATGCAAAAAATGAATCTCTATTTCTACTAAAATAAGATGGTGATAGCCCTTTCGACCAGCTGTTTGACCAAGAGCAGCTGCCTGCTTCCCATCAATTTAAATTTAAGATTCTGAAATTAAAACATAATATCTTCCAACTATATTCTATTAACAACTCATAGCCATTTAAGATGCCAAATATTGTAGATGTTAAGTTTGAAGTTCTTTACAACGGCCACTCATAGAATTATGTCAATCGTCTAAACGGTTCACATGCATTGCCCGTGCAAAACAGTAGAATAATGATATAGCAATCTCTACCAGGGCTTTTCCATCAACAATGTTTCTCTTTTACAAAGATTATTTTTATTGGAGAACAGACAATACCTTAAAATTTTCATCGACGTATTCCAAATTAGCGAGAAAAAAAATCCAAAACTTAAAATGTAATTCACACCAAGCAAAAATTTGAAAGGTAAACTCATTTTCAAATTGACATCCAGACACTGCTAATTTTGATAGAAACCAAAATAGTTACAACACTCACACACAAGAAAAGAATTTAAGAACTGATAGTACACAATTTGTAGGGTCTGAAGATGAGACAAAAATAAATAAATTGATAAAGAAGTTGAAAGTGTCAATGATTGACAGCATTGAACTTAGAACTAGACCGGCCACTATTGTTTTAGCAGTATCAACAATCAGATGTAAGAAAACGGTGAAAGCATCAAAATATCTACTGATACTACCTAAGCGATGAAAAACATTAAAAATAGAAGAAGAAAATGCTCTAAATAAAGGAAATGGAAACAACAGAAAATATAAGGAAAGAGAAAGAAATCAGGCACTTAATCAGCCAATTGGAGCCCAAAGATGAAATGTGGCTAGGATTCACAAAGATTTTGCACATATTACTTGTGGCGAAAACATAAGCAGTTTATAATGGCAAAGGTATCAAGTTGGGTCAGATTCAGATCTGATTTACCCATCATAAATTTCCACTTCATTTGATAATCCAAACACAATAAGAAATCTAGACCAATATCAGGAATGAGAATTAATAATTTGTACATTAGGGTCTGGATTTTGCATTACCCAAAACTCCTAAAAATCAAATTGGCATCGACAAAATTTCATTGCTCATATATGACAATTCTACCTTTGTAATTTTTTTGTAGAGGATATATTACTACAACCCATGCTTTATACTATCAGAGATGATGTTTAGGCCCTTATCCAAAAGTTTGAATTGAAACTGGATCGGGTTGTCAGGCACACTACCAGAACTAACAATACGTCCTATCCACTTTATTAGAGAAAAAAGTTTCTCAATTTCAAACAAGTAGAGAAGTCCAATACAGGACAGAATGTAGGTACAAACAGAAACCAAACACTGATTATTGGGTCATATTTATCAAGGTTGAAGCCTTAAACTCCTAGATCTAAAAAAACTCCCAGAACTACGAATAAAAAGAACCCACACCCAGACTTTGAGGAAAACATCTAAGACTAGTTCTAGCAATGTGAATGGCTATATGAGGTGAAACTGTTAAGGTTCTGAGTCTGTCTTCTGCACTTTTCTAGTGGATGGAACAAGCCACAGAGGGAAGATTCTAAATTCAAACCATAATCAGCTTGGTTCCAAGGATATAGCCTAATTATATTTTTATTCATGTGATCCTTGTTTAGAGTCAGAAAATTTAAAAGCTGTTACATTTGAGAAAGAAACACAACCAGAATCAACATGTTGTATGAAGCAGAAGGAGAATAAGCAACAGGCAAGTTCTGGAAAAACATCCTAAAGCATGTAATCAAGTTGATTGATGAGGGTTAAAGCTCTTTCAAGATTCACTCTTTTTATGTTCAAGAGCATCCAAGTCCTCACAGAATGGAGTCTACCCCTAACTCCCAATTTGAAGAAAAGCAAGTAGCTCTCACTAAAATGAAGGATCTGTTTAATCCTTCCCCGTTCATGCTAACTTGTTGCCCTCTTGAATGCCAAAGAGGTGCTCAAAGTAGCAAGTTGCAAAGGAAGATCCAAACAGTGGATGGCAAGTGGCGTGGTTCGGAAATGCTGAAATAGCTCAAGGTTTCGGCACTCTTATTGCTCTTGATGCAGCCAAAGCTAAGAAGACTCGCCTAACTGCTGCCAGGATCTGCGTAAACATTTTTTATCCAGCTGTATCCATACTCATCTTCGTTCCAATCATTTCTGCAACCTGTTGGATACGAGGGTCTATCGGAAAAAGGAGTTAACCATATTATAACTTAGAATCTGAACAAATGGAGGAGAATGCTGTTCACGGCAACCTCAAGGCCGAGACCTCAAAAGCCCCCAGCCACGCGGCATTTCAAGCCAAAAGAACAGCAGTTCCAGCAAGTTCTCTCAGAAGCTGAGCTTGCAGACAACTGATAAGGTAAGCTGTACCATGACCAAAGTTGATCCATCTGTAGCCAGGACTAGACAAGAAAATGCCTCGCAAATGTAGGTACATTATTTGCAATAACCGTTTGTTTTGGACTGAACATAGTCCTAGACCATTCACTCAATGAGACAGAATCTAGACGGATAAGGTTCTGCGACCTAACCTGCATAGGGCTAACACACTGAAGTACTCATATCTATATCCAAAATCAATATTCCGAGCACCATAAAATATTTATATTATGATAGGTTATGTAAATTTCGAATTCAGAATGCAGAAGTAAATCATGGCTGGAAAACTGAGAAAAATTAGCAAAATCATCATTAATTATCTGACATATAGGTTGTGAATTTTTTTGGTGGGTGGTGATCCAAATAAAGGTTGGGATCAGTAGATTTAGACCTTCAACATTATTGATACGCCCCCTCATTTATTTTCTAATTGGGATTATCATTTTATTGTAATATTTTCTTAGGTTTATAAGGTTCCTGCACATTAAGATCTTGACAGCACTTCTATGCTTCCTTTAGTTTCTTTACCTTTTTCTATGTCCTCATACTATTATTTATAGATATATTTTCAGTTTGTTAAAAGAGCGCCTTTCAATATGGCTCCCGCGGCTTTGAGTTCGATTCCTGGCTGGGTTAATTAAAAAAAAACAGAGAGCGCTCAGCCCAAACCTAGTGACCTCATGTAACACAACTCAACCTCGGAGATCTGGATGCAGACTCAGTCATCCTATTAATCACTGCCGCTGAGAAAGCAACATAAAGAATCTAAGCCTGGTTTATTTCAGTCGCAGTTAATAATACACTGTAAATGACACCCATATCCATATTCATATATCCATCCATCTGATTATGAAGCAAAACTCACATGATATTCATGGAAAGCTCATGAAGAGCTTATAAACACACCAGAAGAGAACAGCAGAAGGGAACTCACCAACTCAAATTCCATTTGGCTCGGGACCATATAATTAGATCTTCTTCGTATCATCAGGTCATGCTCCAAGCATGGGCTTCCCCAAAATCTTGCCTGCCTTCGATAAAAGATCCTATTCCCACAACCACCTAACAAACTCTACCCTGCGCTCCCATCACCACAAGTCCTTTTATGGGGAACCCCTCAAGCCACCCTATGTATGGAAAGAAAACCAACATATCTCTATCCTGTCCCACTCTGTAGCCAACCAAAAGAAGAAAGGTCTAGATGGACTTGGAATGGTGGGCGGATTGATCCGGAACACATCTATAAATACAACAGCAGAAAAGGCATGAATGAAGAAAACAGAGAGTTGCAATATGGAGCCGTATGGTAGTGTTCATGGCAGGGCCTTACCTGAAGAGGCAGAGAGTCTGAAAGTGGAATGAAGCCAAGGATGACTTGCCGGAATTGGTGTAAGGGATAGTAGCTCAATTCAAGTTACCGGCAAGTCGTCTGAGGCTCCATTGTGCTCTCTTCTTCTCATGTAAGACTCTTGCATGGCCCAGTCAAAGATGTAGTTCGACCACTTGCATGGTAAGAGGTACATAACTATAGAACTGATAGAAAAATGTCTGTACATACCAAGGTTTTAAATGTCGACCGACATGTCCGACATGTCGGTTTGAGGGCTTGAGCGACACGACATGGGCGTTTTCAACTCGTATATCGGTTTTCAGGACCAAATCAGAAATATCAAGGCCATATCGGGCCTATCGACCGATTTTTCAGCTTTGAAAAATCGGCCGATATGACCCTTCTTTTTTAAGATCTGTTTTTTTTGTTATCGGGTTTGGATTTAGTGATAAAAACCCAAGCTCGTTTGACCCGTTCTCATGTTTAAGGGTTTCTTATGAACCCGATAGAAAGAAAAAAAAATTAGGGTTACAGTGGACTTGGGAACCGATCACTCCTTTCGTGAACGACGACGCTATTCCCCCACCTCCATCTCGGACCCTCGTCATCCATCTCCTGTTGCGCCTCAATATTCGAACCCCAACCAAACCCGAAGGCGGCAGGGTATTCCGTCGTCGGGATAAAGGGGAGAGGATGGTCGGTGGCTCATCCGAAGAACCCCGAGTAGACGAAGAAGAATAAGAATAGCCTCGGCACTGTCTCCCTGCGACATCCCGTCGTCAGCACTGTCTCCCTGCGACGTCAGAATCCACCCATCGCCAACACAACCTCTAGAATTTATAAAGTATACTTACATTGAATTTAGGAATGCTTAGATTATATTTAGGACATGATATTATACATATGTGCACCACCCGATATGGCAATCCGATATTTAGTCCATGTTCCCTGATATATCCCCGATTTTCGCTATCCGACATGGATTTCAGCCGTTCGACATGAACCCGACATCCGACATTTAAAACCTTGATACATACTAATTCCATATAATCTAGCTACCTCTATGTTATGATTGTTAAGATCGATGTCGTTGCCAGGCTTATTAAGACGCGCGCCCCGGGCGCACCCCGGGCGCGGGGCGCTTCGGCTTGGGGGAAATGCGGCCCGCACGCGAGGCGGGGCGCTGCACGCAGTGAGGCGCGCGCCTCGCATGCGCCTCACGCACGCCTCGCTCGCACCTCGCGCGCGCCTCACGTGTGCCTCGCACCTGCATTATGTAACATACTCTTTCTTCTATTTTTTTTAAATAATTTACATAATTATATATTTATATCATGTAATATACTCTTTCTTACTAGTTGCTAATCTAGTTTCATCTTTTCATGTTTAACCTATAAAAAGGAAACAATAATTAATTTAGTATACTTGTTTGCTAATTGTAACTTTCTTCTCTAATTAGCATGCTAACTAGCAAATTATGAACATGTAAATATGTAATTGTTACATTCATTCTTCATCTTTTCATGCTAAGTAGCAAATATCAATTAAGAATACTAACTAGAAAATTATGAACAGTCACGTTTGTTAATTATATTTCTTAGACTTTTTATGTGACAATTTATAAACATATGCTCATAATTGTTAATCACTTAATTTGATGATTTAAATACATGTTTCTTGTATCTTTTTTGTTACTTTAAAAATTCAGTTAGCATAATTTGATGATTTAAGTTGATATTCTCATAATTTTGGATGTAGATAACTAACATGTTGCTCATATGTTTCTATCTTATGATGTTGGCAAATATTAGTTTGAGTTATGCGCCTCGTTGTGCGTCTTGTGCATGGTGCGCGTAAGGGAACTTTGCGCCCCATATTACGCCTTACGCCTCGATAATACTGGTCGTCGCTATTGAGCTCAGAAGCCTGACTCTTCAGTCACTGTTTCCTCATATTTGCACCACCAAGGACACAAGGGAAACTCGTCACAGTTCTTCTCCGTAATCACTCACAAAAGGTGAAGGGATCGCACAAAGGGATGAACGGGAAAAGCTCACAGAAGAGGAGAGGATCACACAAAGCAGAGGAGCACAAAGCTCGGGTTCTTCTTCACCGTCACTCCTCTCACTTTGTTCCTTTTTCCTTTCAACTCTCTCTCTGTCATTTTATCAAGGGGGCAGCCGACAAGAGAGATAGGCTAGGGTATGAGGGAAAAGGTGGGAGCAGACCTAAAGGGATGGGAGATGAGACTAAAGAGTTGTAGGGCACTGGATTTTTAGCAAATGGGCCAGCAAAGCAAAGGACGATGGGCTAACTAATAGCAACAATCTCCACCTTTGGCCCAAGATAGTGCACTGAGAAAAACACGAAACTACAGGACTCATCATCGTCAAACCATTACCTGTATGATCACAAAAAAGATACAAGCAATGGAAGAGAATACACAAAGTAAACTCAGATCACAAAGATCGGGGCAAGATCACCACGCATGCCAAGTCCACAAAGGACCGAACTCTACCAAATGATCATCGAGTTCAAAGGGAAAAAAAATCACAAAGCTACTAACAAGCACAAAGCAAGTTAATAGGCCACAAAGGCAACACACAAAGCAAAGAAAAATTACCCAAAGTCAAAATTTAAGATTCTTTGACACGAGATAATTTTTTCAGCAAGCAAACACTTAGTACCCATGTTAGTTGGATTAAATTTTGAGGGAATTTTCTCTAACTTAACAACACAATTTTTAACTATATCCCGAATGTAATAAAATCTAACATCAATATGTTTAGTTCTATCATGAAAAACAGGATTTTTGCAAAGTTGAATAGCAGATTGACTATCAGAAAAAACAATCATATTTTTATCAAGAAAACCAATTTCAGATATAAAGCCCCTAAGCCAAATAGCTTTTTAAAAGCTTCAGTGGTAGCAACATACTCAGATTCAGTAGTAGATAAAGAAACAATGAGTTGTAGTTGAGATTTCCAACTTATGCAAGAGCCACACAAAGTAAACACATAGGAAGTGGTAGATTTTCTATTATCCCTATCATTTACATAATTGAAATCTACATAGCCAACTAGTTTAACACCTTTAGAACACTTAGAGAAGGTTAATCCTATATCCACAGAGGATTTTAAATATCTTAAAAGCCATTTCAAGGCATTCCAATGAGACATACCAAGATTTGACATATATCTACTCAAGCAACTAACCGCATATGCAATGTCAGACCTAGTACTAACCATAAGATACATGACCGATCCTATAGCATTCGAATATGGCACCTTCTTCATAATATTTATTTCAGTTTTAATCTTGGGGGTCTGATCCTTACTTAACACAAAATAGGAAGCAAGAGGCACATTCACAGATTTGGCAACAGACATAGCGAATTTACTCAAAAGTTTTTAGACATATGAACTTTGATTTAAAACTAGAGTAGATTTGTTTTTGTCCCTAATAATATTCATGCCTAGAATTCTTTTAGCATCGCCTAAGTCTTTCATGTCAAAATTTTTACAAAGACATTTTTCAACATGCTCAATAGATTTCAAACAAGGACTAACAATCAATATATCATCCACATAAATTAAAAGAAATACAAGCACATAGTCTATATTCTTATAATACAGGTAATGATCAGCAAAACTCTTTTTAAACTTTAAAGATTGCACGCATTTATTAAATCTAATATTCCATTGTCTAGATGATTGTTTTAAACCATACAAAGTTTTTTTTAACAAACACACATGATCAAGCAATTTAGGGTCCATAAAACCCTCAGGTTGATGCATGTAAATATTTTTATCAAGATCACCA